ATCTACACCCATGGAATAGTGGGGGTTAATAACCTGTAGCAACTTTGAAGACAAGTAATTGACCACGCATGCAACCTTGTCCATCTTTTTTACCATCTCCATGGTAGCCTTTCGGGCAAACACACTTAAACCCCCCTGGTGTGTTCTCACATTTCTTTTCACATTTATTGAGACTTTGATCCTTACATTCATCAATGTCTGCATAACAAATATAAGAATAATAAGAAGGAAAAACAAAGTTAAAATATTGTTTATTATATAGTGAACAATATGGTGCTTTTAAGATAATATAGCCATACCTTTACAGCCATCATCGAGGTATGGATTTCCTTCATAACCGTCCTGGCAACGACAACGATACCCATAACCATTATCGGGTTCATAACACTTGGACTTCTCACTTTTACATGCATAACTAGAAACGTTATTTCGAGCCTCCTCACAAGTTTCTTCTCCAACTGCCCAGTCAACCACCATTGGAAGCTCTTTCACATTCCTCAGGTTGGAAAGACTACTTGCGGAGAAAGTGAATGCACTTTCTTCAGCTAGAAAACCATAGCTGCAGTTATCGAAGTCCCACACGGTTGTCAAATTGTGATAGCTATCCAATGTCACCTCAACTTTCCATGCCTGTTTCGGGATAGACATCTGGCAACAGCCTAAACCAAAACATGAGACGTCGACCAGATCATCCTTGTCGTTGCAAGTGGAAGAGCACCCTGTATCATAAGTTCGGTTCCCCCGCCACCCAGATACATGAGCGTAAGTATCACAACCAATGACAAAGAACTTATTGGCAGTATTATTGACCAAGAATCCATCGGTCAATGTTATCGAGGGTTCATTATAATACGAACTGGTGCCATCCCGAGAATAACAGTCTTTTGCTATGAATTGCATGACACGCATTTGGCCCTCTAGGGATATGATTGTGATATCTATGTTTGAGTCTACCCAGAATGGTTTGGGAGGATCATAGTGGGTGTCATTACAAGTGACTAAGAATGTTTTGTTAAAGTAACAACCTTCCCTCGTGCCGAAAGGGAAGGGAATACTTACATTTCCACAATGATCCGTACAGTTGGGCTTTCCTATTTGGAAATTTGATTGAGTAGAAACTGATCTTGAAACAAAAATAAGCAGAACTGACACAAGTAATTGGGCTTGCAGCAAATGCAAATGCAATCCCATTGTTTTATTGTAGTCTAACCGACTCCAACCCACGAACTATATATATTATATACACACGTTTGCTCGTACGGATTCTTATGTAACTTTGCAAGCCACTAGCATCTTATCTTGACTAGAAAAGTCTCCTCTTGAAGTGTTTAGAGGGGCAATGGTTTCACTGTCGAAAATTAAGTTGCACTGCCGTAAAATTTGATATACTTCAATTTCTTTGATTGATTTGCTTATGTTTTATCTGCTAGCTGGCTGATTTTGAATAATATACACTAAATATTTCTGCACGTGGTTAAAATTTATCGTTTGCATTTTCTCTTCTATAAATTACAAAAAACATGTTTTTTATCAAATTAAAATAATTATAGAATTAAAAAAATAGATTTTGAAATTTATCTTAGTTTCTTGTCAATCACTCAGTACTCTGCAGTGCATCAACAAATCTACTTGACTCTGCAAATCGACAGGACGAAACACAACAATATTGAGAAAAAGTTGCATTGCTTTATAGTTCATTTGGCAGGTGAAATGAGAAGGGACCTTCACTCTACTTATACAAATTCACTGTGTACGGAGGGGTTGTTTGACAAAGCCTTCAATAAAAGTTTCAGCAATTTTGATAACGAGTGGTTGAAAAGTTAATAAAGTTAATATATGACATTTTCTATGGTTTTCACAATGGAAAAGGTACAGGGGCGGAGCCAGCCTTTCGA